CTGCCACTATGTTGTAATTTCTTAAGATTGTGCAATAGTCGACAACATCCCACCTCCTGGCGAACCATCCGGGGGTTCGCAAACTGTCAAGGCGGCTAGCCTCTTGATTGGTCGACGCATAACTCCATGGGACGTTTGAACGTCGGCACTCCGGACTCGACCATCACTACCCTTGAATGTCTGAATAACTCTGCCTTTCTCCCAGTGGCTGCGAGGAGCTGAAGGGTCACACACTATAACGAGTGTTCCCGGTTGTAAGGCAGGCACGTCATCACGCCACTTTGGTCGGCACAGTAATCGCGGCAAATATTCAATTGTCCATCTCTTCCAGGCACGATCCTTTAGGTTTTGAGCAATCTTCCACTGTTTGCGTAAGCAAATTCGTTCGTCTGCGGGATGTGGTGTCTGGGTGGAGTTTAAGCAACCAATCAAAAAATGGTTCGGCGTGAGTGGTTCTTCTTCTTCAGCTGTGACCGGTATATCTGTCAACGGCCGACTGTTTATAATATTCTCTATTTCGATAAGAACACTACGGAGCGTTTCGACCCTTGGTGCTTCTTCCTTCAAAACTTTGTGCAGAAGACGTTTGGTGCACTGAATTAGGCGTTCCCAACATCCACCACTACTCGGATCGGCCGGACAATTGAATACCCATTCCATTTTGTGTTTTGCAAATTCACGCTCGATAGCATTAAAGTCAAAAAGTCTGTTTTCATCTCTCATCTCCTTTTGTGCGCCCACAAAATTGGTGCCGTTGTCGCTTCGCATACGTATGGGTGTGCCGCGACGATTAATAAAGTTGCGTAGGCATATGATGAAGGCATCGGTAGATAGGTTTTCTGCCATCTCCAAATGCACTGCCCTTGTCGTCAAACATGTGAATAATGCGACCCATCGTTTCTCCCTCCTGCGACCAATAGCGACGTGGAATGGCCCACAATAATCCACCCCTGAGTATGAAAACGGTCGAACATATGGTGTTACTCGGTCTGTGGGTAACTGTCCCATCAATGGAGCAGTTGGCTTGGCTCTGTCACAAATACAAACTTGACAGTTCCTCTTAATGCGTTTTAATACATTTCGAATCGCCGGTATCCAGAAGCGTTGACGGATTTCGTTGATCACCAAGTTGTCGTTTTGGTGATGCCGTCTGGCGTGATAATCTAATACAAGTAAATGCGTAATGTGATGGTTTGCTGGTAGTATAATTGGTCGACGAGCGCTGATAGGTAGGCAATAAGCTGCATCTAACCTTCCGTATATTTTGATCAAATCGTCTTCGTCTAAGTACGGCGTAAGTGGATATAAACTGCAGTTTTTTGGCAACGATTTCTTCTGGCGTAAGTCTTCAATTGCTTCGGCGTATGCATCTCGCTGTGCTAAGCGAAATATGTGATTTTCGGCAGATGTGATTTCCACGGCTTTGAGTTCACCCTTCATGCGTGTTTTCTTCCTACTGTTGTTAACGAATCGCAATAACCAAGCCATAACTCTGGTCAACTTTAAGAAAGAAGAAAAGTTAGTAAACTCGACAAGTATCTTACCTCTATCACAGGCAAGCAAACGGCGACTTGTTTCTTCTTTGACACATTCATCTGACGACATCATGACTTCTCGAGGCCAGCTTCCCTCGTCCTGGTTTAAAAAATCTGGTCCATTCAACCAACGTGAGTGTGATGAACTTTCCGACGTAAATTTGGCGCGTGTTGCATCATCGGCAACGTTTAAGTTTGTGGGCACCCAGTGCCACTGATCTGTCGTAGACGTGTTGAGTATTTCGGCTATTCTATGAGCGACATATGGTTTGTATACCCGCGATTGCGAGCGTATCCAAAGTATAACGGTCTGCGAATCGCTCCATAGAAATGTTCGTTGTATCGGAATGTCAAGGCTTTCTTCGACGAGATTCTTGATGCGACATCCTAATACTGCTGCTTGCAGTTCCATACGAGGAACTGTTGTTGGTTTAAGTGGTGCGCATGATGCTTTAGCGCATACTAATGATATTTCAACGACGTCATCCTTTTGTACTCTCAGGTAAGCGGCAGCGGCATAGGCACTTGTGCTGGCGTCAACAAATATGTGCAGTTGAACACTTTGAGCACTGTCAACAAAGCTGCAGTAGCAGCGCGGAATGGTCAATGACTTGACCGACTGAAATTTGGCCCACCACATCTTCCATTGCGTAACCAATTGGTGTGGTAACTCTTCGTCCCATTCAACGCCTAGTTTCCATAGTGCTTGCAGTAGTAGTTTTGCCGAGATTGTAATATTCGTAAGAAGCCCGAAGGGATCGTAAATAGACATTACGATTCCTAAGAGTTCCCTTTTTGTCGGTGGCCGTTCACCTTGCAACATGTCTTTGGCTATTTTAAAGAAATGAAATTTAAATTCAAAATTATCTGTTGTGGTATTCCAATGCATTCCCAATATTTTGTCGACTGCGTCTTTTCGCTCCAAGTTGAACTTGTTTGACTGCAAAGAATTGCCATTGTTCAAACTCGCTTCTAAAGCTTTGCAATTGGATACGAATCTACGAAGTTTAAACCCTGCAGCTGCATTTATTTTTATAGCGTCTATTATCGTCTGCTCGGCTTCTTTGGCGTCATGAAAACTAATGACGAGGTCATCCACATATGTCTTGTTTGTTACGGCGTCGACGGCTTTTGGCATTTGTGACTCAAATTTGGCGGCATTAACATTTTTCACATGTTCAGCGCAACACGGCGATGAGGCTGCACCGAATATCATGGATTTCATTACATAGACCTGAATTGGCTTGCTGGGATCACCGTTTCTCCACAAGAAGCGTTGGGAGTCTTGATCCTCGTCTCTTATACGAACTTGTGAAAACATCTCTTCTATGTCGCCAGCCACGGCGATGTGTCCTTGTCGGAATTTAAAAAGAATTGTAAGTAGCGACTGTGCCTTTTCTGGCCCTTTAAGCAAGAAACTATTAAGCGAAACGTTGGATGTCATAGCGGCGGCATCGAACACGATGCGTAACTTATCGGGTTTATGTGGGTTGACTACCCCAAAATGTGGTAAGTACCACGTCGTTGGCTTTACGATATTGACCTCGGCTGTACTTAGTTGCTTCGCGTAATCTTTATCAATGTATTTATTTATTTCATTTATATAACATTTTGCAAACTGACTATCTTTGCGCATCTTGGCCTCTACTTGCAATAAGCGCTTATAAGCCATGCCATAACTAGGTGGAAGTGTGACGTCATCTGTTTTCCACAGCAAGCTCACCTCGTATCGACCACCCAAGCACTTAGTATTCTCTTCTAATATTTTTCTCGCTCTTATGTCACTGTCAGATTCTAATATAGTGTCAGTTTGCGTTCTACTGGCTACAGTGTCGGTTATTATATAATCTTCGACTAGCTTGTGCAGCTGTTTCATAGTATGTGACTCTCTAACTACTATTACACGTGCTGGTGTACTTACGGTTTCATGCGACGGTCCATACACTATCCAACCTAGTTTGGTTTTGGCGGCAATAGGCTGGTTAGGTCCATTATCAATGATCTCATGCGTAACACCCAAGAAAGAGTTGTCCAATCCAAGAAGCAGTTCTGGCTTTGCGTCGATATAACTGAGTGTTGGCATTGTTGATAAATGATGAAAGTTCTTACTATTAAAAGATTGCATTGGCAAGTCCAAATTACCAATGGTGCGTACATTTTTTATTGCATAAGTGTGATCAGCATACGGTGCTCTTATTTCGATTGATACCTTGCGTGATTTTTCGGTGGTTTTATTTTTGCCATACCACTGTAACGATAACAATGATGTTTGTCCCTGCACGCCTAAGCTAGACGCGACTCGCTCACTGATCAAGGATATAGATGATCCTTCGTCAAACATGGCATAGATATTGATTTCGCCACGCGGCCCTATCAATGTGACTGGAAAAACTTTAAATAGCGTTGACTCATTATACTGTCGGCAATTATAAACGCGTTGGATCTGATCATCATTGTTGTTATTGCTGCTTGCTTCAATTTCCGTGTGCAACAGCTGATGGTGTTTGCGTTGACAACCATTTACACCGCATGTGGCTCGTTTTTGACAATTTTGTAGACTATGTCCCTTGCCGAGACAAGAAAAACAAACTTGATGACGTTTGACTACAACCCATCGCTCGTTGGGATTACGGCCATTAAACTGGCTACATTCCGACAACGGATGTCCCTCGCTACATAGGACGCATCGTTGTGCACGTCGAACACTTGGCGCCTCGTGACTGAGAAGCAATCGGCGACTACCACCTCCTGCTATAGTTGGTTGACGACTACTATTGTTTAGGTTATTTACCTGACGGCTGTTAGTTGATGTAGTGCTTCTGTCAGTTGTTCTTGGCATAAGTGATATAACCCGAGCCAATTCGCTGAGCCAGGTGGAGAAATTATCCACTGTTGGAAATGGCCCTAACTCGGCTACACGTTTGCCCCACTCGAATTGCTTGGAAGGTGGCAATTTCGAAACAAGTTGTTCCAAAAGCGTTGGATTTACCAAGTGATGTTCGCATCTAGCTGACTTGAAAAAGGCTACGACGTTGCGCACCCGTGTGGAAAATTCCAGAATGCTGTCAAGACGACTTTCGTGAATAATTGGAAATTGTTGCACCTTTTGCAGTTGTGCTCGTATTAGTAGGTCAGACCGCCCGAAATTAAATTCGAGTTCGTTCAAAATGCCAGGAACATCGTCGGGGTAAATCATTAATGAAGCAACAGCTTGTCTAGCCGCGCCCTTCAAGGCCCTTTGTAACCTTATTAAATTTTGTCGATTGCCGTAATTAAATTCGGCGGTAGTGTCACGATAGCAAGCGATGAAAAGCGGCCAATCCTCTGGATTACCTTCAAATACAGGCAGAGGATACAACTTTGTGATGGCGTTATCCATAAACAATGGTGGTTGGCGATTATTCAACGACGTAGTGGACGTCTGTGGCTGTGGCGTTATAGTCTCTGCAGATGTGCGATGTGGCTCCGTTGATACGATGTCTTGCGTATTGTGTGGCTGGCTGGGCGGCGGAACAGGTTGCGTATTATTTCCTCCATGATCATTCATACGCTCGTGGAGTTGTTGTATATCTGCGCGTTGTGTGCTAGTTTCATTCCGCAATTCTATAATTGAATCACGTAGTGCGGTAATGGAAGCGACAAGAGCGGCAATGTTATCAGTAGATGTACGAGGTTGTGTTCTTGGAGGAGTAGTTGTTTCAATTACTGTTTCGTTGAGTTCAGAATCACCTTCCGAGTTAGCTCTACGTTGACGGGACATTTGGCTCCTAGTTATCATTCGCACCGCATGTACAAGAAACAATTAGGTTATGTACTCCTCGTATGTATATGTTAAACGGGTTTGGCTGCTACCGGAATGTACCGGTCCTTTCTGGAATGTTGGAAAATGCCTATGTCTGTGTGTTAAAATAGCGGTACTTCAGCGAAGTCTTCCAAAACGATTTAAAGATTTGTATTGCAGGCGGCGAAGTCCAATTTAACTAATTGCGATCTTCTTGTATGTATGTATGTGCGTAGCATTGACTATGCAAACGCTTGCAAGTTATTTTCTGGCGGCGACAATCGATGCAAGTGCAGAACGAATTTTAGAAAATGTTGGCGACTGATTGAAAGGCGACAATATTTTCGTATAATAAATGA